TTTGTGAAGGCTGCTGCCGCTACTTTTTTTTTGCTTATCATTAAACTTGAATCCTAGCTCACTTGCCAAGTGACGTTGACCTTCATCCCCTAGGATGCGTAGCTGTTGTTTCAAAAGTTTCGAGTGGTTTAATAGGAATCCAAACATGGCCCGCTCCTCTGGCATTCTCTGCGGCAACGGTCACGGTGTTCGTCAAGAGTCGGATTCGTGACGTCTCGTGTTCTGGGCCTCGATTGGGTATGCAGTGAGTCGATGCTCTGAGTCGCTGGAGATTCTTGTGGCCGGCTTCATAAGGGAGTTGGCTTAAGAGAGTTGGCTTAAGAGATTCCCCGCGGGCTGGCCAGCCACTGGGTTGAGGAGAAGCCGGAGCGTTATAGCATCCTCCCCTCCATAAACTTCCACGCAGGCCTCCACGCTGTTGAGAGTTGCCGGAATAGTTCCAGGATTTCTCAGGTAGCGATGGGGCCACGCCCCCTGCTGCTGAGGTTGTGTCAGTCCCAGCTGAAACACTCTTAGGTTCCAAGTGCAGTATGAAACCCCTATTATAGCCAGGAGAAGTTGCTCCGCACTGGCTCTTGGTGGGCGGCCGTCGTGCCACACATGGGATTTGTGGCTAACTTGGCCTACAACAAGTGCTGGAAGTGGGATGGGCCAATGAGCATTACCCGCTACCACGTCCAGGTCGGTGGCATGCCCCCCACTCCATGAGGCTTGGTGGGTTAGGAAGCTAGCCTCTTCCAAGTCTAGCAAGTCCGACCCAAACTCCACAACTAGTCGTCCTAGCCATATGGCTAGCAGTTCTTCAGGTTTTATTTTTGATTCCCGACACAATTCCTGCAGCTCTCCCTGCGTGCAGGTGTGGTATGTAGTGGTGGTGCGGGTTGCACCCTGCGCATCGACGACTTGCTTCACCAATGCTATCAGGGGAGCCGCAGTCGGGAGAGAGTTAAATTTGTCAGGCGGGAGCACTGGATACAACTTTTCTCCCTCATACGGGGGACAGTTCCACTACTTGCTCCACGTCAGGGGGCGGGGCTTCTTTTGGCGCCACTCCGAGGGGCGGGGCCGTGGGCGGTGACGCGGCTGGCCCGCCTCCCAGGGGGATTTTCGCGCCTTTTCCGCTTTCCTCGGCACCATTTTCTGGCAGCGACGCCATGCGGCTGAGCGTTGGCTCAGAGCCCCCCGCCGCCTGCTCCAGTGACTCCTTGCCCACTGTGTGCAACTGAGCCTCTAGATTTGCATTCTCCCGTAGTAGACCTGCTACCGAACGGAATAACACATTTATCATTTTTCCTTTATTCCACTTGGTCAACCCCCATCTCGCCGCGTGGCAGCCCTCTGTCTCCAGGCCCTCCTGGAGCTGGCCGAGGAGTTTGTGACCGCGCGATCCAGGCACTAAAGCCGGACAGTTAAACCAGTCCGGTGGGGTGGGTTCCCCTCCTTCCCTCAGGTACCAGGTGCACTGGGCAAACTCTTGAGCGGGGGTCAGATTTTCCGCTTTCTTCGCCTTCACCCCCGCTAGGGATAGAGTCGGTGTTTCATCCGGGGGCCGATAAACCCGGTCACTGCCCATTTCACACCCAAACTCCCCGGGAAACAGCTTCGCTCTCCATTCCTTCATGACTGCTCCTTCCCCTTTCATCGAGAAGTAGCCGTCAATGTTCCTTCCATCCCCTCCTACCGCCTGGTGGTAGGCGATATGCGCCCAGAGATCATCTGTGTTTTCCACGCAGCGGGTCCCAGTGCGCCAGGGGCAGCACTCAATTAAATTCATCTCCACCACCGTGCCCTTAGATCCTGTTCATGACGCCATGTCTCAGACGGCCGGAGCCGACTTGAGGAGGATTGCTGATTACTCATCCGTCAGGCGGGCTGGTGGGTGGGGAGGCGGGGGCCCGGGTGGATGGAGAGGCAGGATACAGCGTATTGGTTGCAAAATAACTTTTACTTTAACTTTACTTACGCCGCTGGTGGCCGCGACGCAGGTGGTAAGGTTGCTTACATAGTTACAGGCAACGAGTTGCTTGCGTAGTTACAGGTAACTGGCAACAAAACGAGCCGGCGAGTCCGTAGACAGAAACGAGCATGCAGGATGAAGGATATGTCGGGACAGACGGTGATGGGGAGATGTTGGAGGATGGCCAGTCCGCCAGCTTTTCTCTGCCACGTGGTGAAGTTCTCCGTACTCTACCACGTGCTCAGAGCTCTCCGACTTGGGTGGAAGCTGCACAGATTTTTATACATTTAGAGTAGCCAATAACAGACTGCCAGGTAGGAATAGCTAATGAGGCAGAACGTACCAAATTTGAAAGTAATTGGGCAGTTCTATTGTGACAGGGGCACTCAACTCATTTGGTTATGACACAATCCATCCAGAAGTTCACAAACTGCAGCAGCACTGAACTAAGTCATTTGGCTCAAAGGTCAGACTAAGGCTCTGGGAGTAAAGGCTCTGCTAGCAAAGAAAGAAGAAATCATATTTAGAGTTAAACTGAACCTTCAGTTTTCTAATGAAATAGTTTCAACTTATTTCCTTGTCATGAAGGTATTGTGCACTTGGGTACTGAGAAATACTAGAATAAGTACAATCAGTATCCCTTCTACTTTAAAAAACATATTAAAAAACACCCCCTTGGAAGGAAGGAAGGGAAGGAGGGAGGGAGGAAATTAAACACGTTAAAGAGAGCCCTCAAATGTTAGAAATAATAAAATTAAGATTGCCTGTGTAAATTTAATTTGTCCCTGGGGTTTTTCTGGTCTTTAACTACACGATCACAAACTCATTTTCCACAGCTTCCTGCACCACTCGGTGCACAGGAGAGATGCCACTCATGTTATGAGCAGCTGTTCAGTATTTGTTCTTTTTCCATTGTACAACAGGGGAGCTCCAGACCTTTACTGCACACTGTTCTAACCATTCTCTAAAAACAGAATTATTTATTTCTTTATGGACTTTTCTGTGATGCTTATCACTAGACTACCTGACAAGCCAGTATTTTCAGAGAACTTAACAAATTATAGCACTTTATACAATGCTCAAAGCAAAGCCCCCACTGACTTCCATCCCAGGTGTACTTAAAAAAGAGCAAACCCTGCAAAGTCAAAAGTCTGTTGGGGCCAGCTGGCCCCACTGGGATTTCCCGGCCTCTCTAGTTAATGGACCACAAAGGAACGATTTACCTAGCATCACATCTGGCCACCTCTGATTCCCCTGCCTGAATGATCAGGTACATGCCTGAATTCACAATACAGCCAAATGGTGCAAGCCCAGGGTCTCAAGGTGTCCACTCAGAAAAATGAATAAAACACAATTAGTGACCACCTGTGAAAAATTTGACCTATGTAATTTGCCTAGAACTACACAGGAACCTAGTGGCAGAGGCAGAGACAGAATTCAACTCTACAGGGCAGCCTTCAGTTGCCTTAACTACAAGAGAGGCAAGAATTTGTGGGGTGATATCTTTTGTTGCATCAACTGCATGACTGAGGTAGACATAAGAAAGCTTTCAGGTAGCACGGTATACTGTCTCAGGCTTCTGGGAGAGAAGCAGACAGAGCAGCGCTAAATAGCAGATGGAACAAAAGGTTGTGTAAAACTCCATTTGTAAACCAAAAAAAACAAAAAAAAAAGATATGAGAAATTATCAAGTAGCCAATGGACAGAAGATATAAAGTATATATCTGATAAAGGAGGAACAAGATTATTCTGGAAGGTCATTATCACCTGTGCAATGCAGAAGTTATGGACCACCATCCAGGCTAAACCCTATATTAAGGCACAGAATTTAGCATAGACAATTATGTCATGGTCCATTACAATTTACCTGATGCTCACTAATCTCTGCATTTCACAGGTGATAACCTGCATTATTTTGAGAATGTCATTTTTACTTTTTTAATTTAGACTTTATATTGAAACATAACATATTCATTACATTTTTCATTTACTCTATTAACATTTTAATATGCTAAGATTAGAAAGTTACTATAAATATTCTAAACGTTTTGAAAGTATCAAAAATTAAACATTTTAACTTTTTGTATTTGATAAACTCCATTAACATTGAAATTTCCTCTAAAATATTTTGATTTTGAAAGAAAACTGTTCCAACAAAAAAATGTGGCCATCTCTTAAGAGTTAAGTACAAACATTTGGGGGCATTAGGGGGAGGTTAAATCGATTCAAAATGGCTGCCTGATATCAGGTAAGTCAGGATGGGAGGGCTAGCTGAGGGATATGGGGGGAGGCGTGACCCATGAGGGGTGGGGGGCAGAAGTGACTTGCAAGTTGGGGGGAAGCGTGACCCACAAGGGGCAAGGGGGCAGGCATGACCCACAGGGGTGGGGGTGAAAAGAACAGCCTCAGGACTGCAGCAGTGGCTGGGGTTTCCCAGCCCTGGGGCTGCGCAGGGAAGTTCCATGCAACTGTCTAACCTAAATTGAATAAGTCTGATAGCACATAGATCCAGGTTCATCTTAAACCAGCTTCTGCAATTTTTAGACTGATTTTTGTGCATGGAACTTCTGTACATTTACAGGTCTAGACTGACTGCCATCACTAAGACGGGTCTGTAAGTATAACGTCAGCACCAGGATGAGCTAAGTTTAAATTGGGTGGCCATTTTGAACCCAATTTAACCTCTCCAAATGTCTGTACTTAGCCATTATGACCCTGTTTTATTAATAATTAACAGTGACATGCTGACCTCCTGTTGTATCCACAGGGCATTACATTTCATGTAGTTGTACTGTGGGCATAACGGAATATATATAACCTCTTTACCACTAGTAGATAGAATGGTAAGTACTAGTAGAATCTAAGTGGTGAGAATAATTGTACAAAAAACAAACTGTTGTATTTATCAGTGGAAAACTTTTAACAACAATCTTTTCGTCTATACTGGATGGAGAAAATGGAATGGATAATATTGTGGTTTTGTTCTTTTACCCATTTACTAACAAATATATATGTTTTATTCTGTTTAGCATTGCATACATACCAGATCCAGACCCAGATGTTGTCATATCATAAATAAGATCTTTAAGAGTTTTTCCAGAGTTTACAAGGTTACATTCAGATAGGGGCTCTTCAATATTTTGTCGCTTTTTCTTTCTGTATGCACAGTAGTGACCTTGACGTATACATATAGTCAGCATTACAGCTAGAGACAAGATACAAACTGGGATAGCAACTATCATGGCCAGCATCAGAGGTCCTAGGTTTGGTCTGCTTGAGGATTCTGAAGCTTTAATACGAGAGAGAAGGGAGGGAGAGAGAGAAGGGAGGGAAGGAGAGAGATTTTAAGTCAGTATCCCATGTTATAAAGTTACTTTCAGTTGTAATTTTAAGGCATGATCCCAAATAGGAGTTAACAGGAGTCTTTCCCCAGCTTCCTCAGTGCAGCAGAACACCAGCTCTGCTACGCCTAAGGTTGAGAGTCACGTTCTGTTTAAAAAAAAAACAAACAACCACCCCTGAGAGTGCTCTAAAATCTGCATGCTTGAAATTCACTGTTCTTTATGGTAGTGGCTCTCAACCTTTTTTAGACTTGACAAACTCTCAAACTTTTCAGAATTTAGCAGTGCCCCATTTAAAAAACTAACATAAACATATGAATATTATAGAATAAACATTATAATTCTGATATTAATTAATAAGTTATTATTTGATTGTGTACTTATATTCTAATTACCCCTTCAGGACCCTGACAGGGAGCCTCCCCTAGCTCTGCCTGGTTCAGCATGCATTTGCTCCTTGTACAGCAGTGAACTCCCTACCCATGGCTCAAGGTCATTGGTGAGGATGATAAGTTTTTATCTTAGTTCCCTAGGGCAATCTGCCCTGAACTCCAGCCCTGGACCTCTAACAAAGAGTCCAGGTATGCCTGGCTGGCAGAAATGCACCTAAAGCACCTGGGGAGTGCTGAGGGGATGGGAAGTGGGCAAAAGGATGCACAAGGCCCAGGAGAGTGGAGGCAGCAGTGCTGTCACGGTTGCCACTGCCACCACAAGGTTAAACTGCACCTCACACATTAGTTTTCAGGAGGCACATTGGAGCCAAACTGAAAAGCAGCTTTAGCAAAAAGGTGTGCCTGCCTGCAGGCAGATGTACCACTTCTACGGCTCTTCCTGTTTCAGCTCTGATATGCCTTCTGAAAGTCAAGGTGTGCCGGCCAGTTTTTCCCCACAGCAGCAATGCAAGCATTGAGGCACCTCTCGCAGATTCTCAAGGCATCATGCCACAGCTCCCCAGTTGAGAACCACTGCCTTAGGGTCAAAGATACAGTTAAAGGTCCAAATCTGGTATTTTTTGAGAGTGGTTTCCAGATGCAATCCCTCTGGCTCTTCTGATTGGAACATCAGCTAAGATTCTCATGGTAATTCATTTGAACTCAACACTATCACTAAACACTGAGGAAACCCCTTTCTTTTGGAGATAGGAATATTACAATAAAGCCCACAGTCCATCACAGCCTATGTTAATTGTGTTTATGTTCTCATAATGTTGCATGCCTTAATTTTCCCATATAGCTGGTATATGGGAAAGGAATGAGTTAAAGGAATAGTGAAGCATGATACCTGGCTATGTGCAGGGCAAGACAAGATGAAACTTTAGCAACAGTCTTGACTATGGTGACATCTCTCTGGTGACATTGACAAAGGTGAGATGGCCAGAGAAGACTGAGATAAATGTAACCATGGGAGAGTAGGCTGAACTCTGGTAAAGAGTTTGGAGACTAAGACAACTGAGCAGCTGTGGAGTTTGGGGCCTGAGAATCTGGAAATACTGAAAAGGGAACAGCTAAATATCTTTACAAGCTGTGTGGGCTGGACCAGAGACAGAAGAATGACTTGACCCTTCGTGGGGAGCAGAGAGTCTGTCTACTGTGCTATTTGGACTTTGGGTTGTCCTTGGTCTCCATAAAAAGAGATAAAGCCCCTCTCTCAGAGCAGAACTGGACGGGTCATGGAAAGTTAGACACTGAGGGCACTTGTACAAATAACACCCTTAACATGTACATATGATAAAAACGTCACTTTGTGTAGCGTAACAGCATCCCAGTGCACACGTGCAAGACTTTTGGGAGTTTTAAATGACTGCATCGTTGCAAACTAAACGCCTGCTGAAGGCAGAAGCGGCGAGGGGCCTGATCCTTTTTTTTTTTTTTTTTTCCGGAGGAGCCTGCCCACCTCTCCCACGGCCAGGGGGCAAGCTGCTGGCAGGCTGAGTGGCCCCTGAGCTGTGGGGGGCCCCAGTCCTTCCCTCTGAAATGGCAGCACCCCCTGGTGCCACCTGGGCGGGCTGCTAGCAAGCCAGGTGCTGCCCCGATCCAACTCTTCCCTGATCCTGAGCTAGGGCAGCACCTGACCTGCCAGCTGCCTGCCTGGGCAGTACTGGGGGGCACTGCTGCTGCAGAGAGAAGGACCTCAGTGGGAAGTAGCTGGCCCACTGGGAAGAGGGAAGGACCTCAGAGGGACCTCAAAGGGAAGGACTCAGCCCACTGGCAGCTTGTCCCCCGGCTGTGGGAGAGGTGGGCAGGCTCTGCAGAAAAAAGATCAGGCCCCTCGCCACTTCTGCCTTCAGCAGGCACTTGATGAAGGCAGAAGTAGTGAGGGACCCAATCTTTTTTTTTTTTTTTTCCCCCAGTGGAGCCTGCCTGCAGCCAGGGGGTGAGCTGCTGGTGAGCTGAGCAGCCCCTGACCTGCAAAGGGCCCCAATCCTTCCCTCTGCAGTGGCAGCACCCCCTGGGGCTGCCCAGCAGGTTGCTAGCGTGCTGGGTGCTGCCCCAGTTCAGAGGTACAACCTGGCTAGATCCAAATATTCCCTGAGTCCACCCACTGGAAGCCCATCAGGAACTGCTCCCTAGGTGGGATTGGGGAAGAATTGGATTAGGTAGGGTGCTGCCTCCAAGCTGGGGCAGTGCCTGGTCTGCTAGCAGCGCAGCCAGGTAGCCCTGGGGGCCGCTGCCACTGTGGAGGGAAGGACCAGGGCCTTCTAAAGCTCAGGGGCTGCTTGGCTGACCAACAGCTCGGCCCCTGGCTGCGGGGGGGCAGGCTCTGCCAGAAGCAGGATTGGACCCCTCACTCCTGCTTATAGCAGTTTGCTGCAGCCAGCTGGACACCTGGGGCCACCCCAGAACAGGCTGCCTTGCCCCAGGGGCAGCACAGGGGGGTGACAGGAGGGTGGCTGGGGGTGCAATAAGCCAGTGGGGATGGCCTGCAAGCTGCTTGAAGCCTGGGTGGGCAATGGCAGGGGTTGGATCAGGTGCCTGCCAGCTCAGGCAGCACCCATCCCACTAGTAGCCCACCTGGCTGGCTGCTGCAGAGGGAAGGACCGGGGCCCCCCAGCAGCTCAGGGGCCACTCAGCCTGCTAGCAGCTCACACCGCCCCACTCTCCCTTCTGGCTGTGGGCAGGCTCTGGCTCTGAAAAAAAAAATGGGGCCCCTCACCATAACATGGCAATGACAGAAAAGAAAAACTGAAATGGTTTCGTCCTTAGGGTTTTATTCTATGCCCCACTGATTCAATTCAGAGGCAGAGAATAAAACCCTGAGGATTAAACCCCCATCACATGTACAAGCACCTGAAAGGCTGAGGTCTCAGGGTGAGAAAGAGTCTGGCCTCTCCCTTACTCTAGCAGACAAGCTTAGGTTGGCTTCAGAGGATTCTCTCAGACCAAAAAAGTCTCCAAAGAAGGAACTCCCTAGAGGGCACTCTGCAAAAATACAAAAAACATTAAAGGAAAAAAGTCTGGCTCTCCATAAAACTATATGCTCTTCATGCTCTGAAGAGACTAGAAAGTCAGTATGCAGCAATCCTAAATACCAAGGTTTACTATTCAGCCATGGTCACAAACATTTGGTGACTCAAGGGTAGGTGTAAAGCTCACTGAACCTGAGCTGCAATCATGAACTATAGACCTGAGCATTACCATGATATAAATCTGAGAAAATAGTAATGCTTATGCCTTGGTTGAGGTTTTGTTTTGTTTTTTAAACCTTTTGGGAAACGTGCCCAGCTAGTATCTACTGCTAAGTTAGAAAGGTTTCTAACTAGGTTCTGAGAAAGTAAATTACACTGTAGAGATATGTGAGAATAGCCTCCACCACCAACTGTACATACTGGGAAGCCCTGCTTCTCTGTGTAAGGACCTGAGAATGGGCAGGCTGCAGAGTACAGAATCAACAAACACTGGCACTAGGAAGAAGGAACAGGAATGCTCACTGAGATGAACTGAGCAATTCACACCTCTCCAAGCTGTTTTTCCAGAGTCATGCAATGGTCTCATTCAGCTAAAACATCTCTTTGAGATTAATTGGTCACTTCACACTTCTCTGAGCTTCCTGAACTGCATTTCCCACAGTGCCTACATCTTGCCACCTTCCTATAGCCTCTCCAAATTTATCTGGGTCATGGAGTGACAGGATGGTAGGGGAGCTTCAAAGCACTAGGGATATGAGGGAGACTTGGATGTAATGAAAGAAATGATGGAGGAATTGGAGCAGTGGGGAAGAAGTCTGAACACGGAAATGTCGAGAATCAGAGCAGCCACCGACAGCTGCTTTCTGACTCCCACCGGAGCAGTAAAACTTTCGCCTTGACAGGTGGGTGATTAATGGATGGAGTGAAATTAACCAGGCACAGACGCATGTTGGTTACAGGAGATTGTTTACTTACGTCGCCCAGATAGTGACGTGCGACGCAGGCTGAGCCTTTGTTCCGTTACAGTTGCTTCGATTATAGTCAAGCGTACGGGTTTGGGTTACAGTTCAGCAATGACGAACGTGGCGCCGGAACGAGCTATCGGGCCTGCAGGGCTTTACTACATCAAGATTTACGATGACGGGGAGTCATTGACGGGGTGATCAAACTGCCAAGTCACTCTGGTGATGGGCTCAGGTTTCTCCTCAGAGATTTCCCCAGAGTTCTCCGACTTGGGCGGAAGCTGCTAAACTATTTATAGACAGAGGTGTCTAACAGAGGTATCCAATGATGGGCTGCTAAGTGGAATCTTTATTTTTTTGGCAAAGCAGCAGTTCTTTGTGCTATCAGGTTGCAAGGTAGTGGGTCAGGTTTCCTGTCTGTTACGTATGAGGTGCCTACGCTTGTTTCTTGACCAATTATATACAGTTTTCGCTCAGATTTTATTTCAGCTGACCAATTATTTACAGCTCTCTGCCAGGATTTTGTTTCAGGAGTTTCTGGCAAGGATTTCTTTTAACCCTTAGTTGACTACTGTGTGCA